CGGGTCCGTGACACTCGGCCGACAACCACTTAGCCGACGGAACACTTAACCGACACCAGTTAGCCGACAGGACAGTTAGCCGACACGGACACTTAGCCGACACGGGCACTTAGCTTACAGGTCATTTAGCCGACAGGTCATTTAGCCGACACGGGCACTTAACTTACAGGTCATTTAGCCGACAGGACGTTTAGCCGACAGGATATTTAGCCGACGGGACATTTAGCGGACAAGGACACTTAGCCGACAGGGCATTTAACCGACACAGAGAGTTAGCTATCAGGACATTTAGCTACGGGACACTTAACTGTCAAGACATTTAGTCAACAGGGCACTAAGCCGACAGTGACGTTTAGCTGACATGTACCCAATAATTATTTAAACTTACTATCAACTATAAAATTTCTCGACTTCTCCATAAGTTCTATATTTAAGTTATTTTTTAACTTATCAGTAAAATTCATTTTTCGATTCTTAAAGATCTCCATATGTGCTTGGATAATTTAGCATTGTTTGATGTGTATCGTGTTGTTTGGTGTATATTGGCCAAATTGAGAAAGCGCTGAAATTTCTCATCAGGCAATATGAATTAATTTTCGAAAGTAAAAAAGAATTTTTTTTAGCTAAGTACGGCTGTCACTTAATTACATTTGGGGCCTTCAAAAATTATCCGTAAAGCTTTTTCATTTAATCAACTGGGTTTCCTTTGAACACTTTCACATCATTAATAGTTTTTCTTGTTTACTTTATGATATTAATTTTCCAATCTCGCTCTTCCAAATGCTTTCAAATTTATAATACCTTTACGTTTGATTACTATTTTACTTAATACATCAAATTACATTCTTTCCCTTACAAAATCGTTTCGCTCCTCCCACTTATGAAATTTCCTTTCCCTGTCATGAAAAATCTGAATAATGCAATAAAAATTATTGTTATTCTTGAATTATGCTTTTTATAAAAACATACGGTCGTGAAGGGTTAGTTTCGAAATATATATTATTTTGTTATTAGAAACAATTTTAAAAAAAGAATTTTTAAGACAAGCAAAGGTTATTGACCTCTATAATGGGCTGTTCATGCCATACTTGAGATAAATATTCTGTAACATTTATTGACCACGCCTCTCGCTGAAAATACTAACTTAGATTCATGTTTACAGCACTAAACTAGTGTATTATGTTTAATTTAGAAGTAAAGTGTTCTTTAAGGTTTTATTTCATTCATAACTGAATACATTTCTGCCAAAACTATTTTTCACTCTTCATATATCGAAAACGTTGCTGATAGGAAATTCCGGACGTGGGAAAATCTCCGAAGAGAAATCGGAGGAATCTCCACTGGGAGGGGCACCAAGCAGGCCGGAGCAAAGCGAGACATCCTGAAAAGTCACCGTTATGTGGTGTCATCTATCGACGCTAGATTTAACTAGATCAGTCATGTAACTAAATAATATCATGTACTGTGCTTTGTCGCGATGATGTCTGCTAAGTCGCGATGTGTAACTTTCAATATATGTTATATTGTTTCATGTTTTTCTTATAAAATGTAACTTTCTCAATATCTGTTTAAAATGTATAAATTTTCATTTTACTTTTAATTAATTTTAATTTTTTTCTCTTTCATTCTCTTTCTCGTTTCTGTTTCAGCTACATGGTAATAGAGAAATTTTTGGTGCCCAGTTTGGTGCCATTGCATTTATAGAGTTCTAGCCTAAAAAGGCAATTTTCGTTGGAAGAGACTGGTTATATATTAAGTAAAACGGTCACTCTATTTCTGTTAAGTTCAGCAGCAGCCGAGCGGTAAAGTCACTGAACACAGGCAGTTCGGTCCGAATTTTGAATCCCGCGAACGGACAGCCTGCATGGGTGTTTTCGTGGTTTTCCACATGTGTAACATGTATACGAGCCAGTTTTTCTTAGAAAGTCCTCCACGAAGGTATCCATTCCATTAGGCAGACAGCCCTCTTTCTTTGCTGTAATTACATAAACCAAACCTACTTCTGTTAGGTGGCTTCAGGCCACGAGGTACGAATTCCCGTGCCGGAGCCCTATCTCAGATTAATAAATATGCAATGCCTAACCCGTAAATAGCATTCTGAGGGTGTAAATAACATTTTAGATAAAAAAAAAAAATAGTACCAGTGTCGCGAGGAGTAGGGCGAATCACTCTACTTCCTGACAGGGAAAGGAAATTTTAGTGGGAGGAGCCAAACGACTTTATACGGGAATGAATGTAGTGTGATGTGTTGAGCGAAGTAATGAAATGTGAAAGTATTAGAAATTTAAAAGCATTGGGAAGAGCGAGACTCATTGTCGGCTAAATGTCTTGTCGACTAACTGTCCTTGTCGTCCGTGTCGGCTAAATGTCCTGTCGGCTAAGTGTCCATGTCGGCTAAGTGTCCCTGTCGGCTAAATGTCTTATCGGCTGACTGGTGTCGGCTAAGTGTCCGCTACCGCCCTCGCACATCTCTGAGAATTACGTTATCCGTTAACTTTTTGTTAGCCGAATTTCTTGCGCATACAAATTTATAAATACAAGCCGTGAGTTTTTAAGTTTAAATAAAATAATTTGTTCAAGTCTTCTTCTAACTACAGACAGGGTGAAAAGTCGCCTGGTAGTCTCACCGTTATTCTCACAAAAAAATAACCAAGGATTGAATTCAAAGGATGTCTTCTTAGAATTTATATTTCTTTCCCCTGCCGAATTCATGCTAATTCAAGAAATTAAATGTAATTAAGAAAGTTGTAAATCTGCAGATAAATATACCCCCAAATTGTTAAAGCATTTAATAATTTTTAATGAACTAAAACGCTATTCAAAACATTATCCAATTTAATACTTGGAAGGCCATCAAAACTTTCTTGTGGAATACAATAAAATGAAATAAAAAATATTAAATTAATCGAAAACTGAATGTTTCTAAGCTTGCATCAGAACATTATTAATCACACGATGTATCTGTTAATGATTTCATTATTAAAATATTTTCCAGTCTGTTGAATGTAATGAACGATAAGCAAGGAGGGGGGGATTTCACATTAGTAGAAGCATAGAAAGCTTCATAACTTTTTCCTTAATATATTTGAGAAATAAAAGCTTTAAACACTTCAGTAGGATAACGGAAGATAACTTAACAAAATTAGTCAGAATATTTATCAAATGACAGCGTTTAAAAAAAAAAAAAAAAAAAAAAAAATCCTAAATAGAATTTAATTTTAACAATGCAATATGACAGAAAAAGGATTATGTCATTGGTTATATACAATATATTGCAATTGCAATCTTAAGCTTATTTATTGATGGCACAATAGATCCATAGAAACATACTGATGCTTTGAAAGAATGTGCGAATATAGTTATTCTTTTAAAAGCTGAAGTAATCAAAATATCGGGTACTAATGATAAACGAATTTTATATTAATTAACACAGTTATCTTATTAGTCTGCCTGTACTTTCTGCTTTCGACAAATTCTATCAGAATGCAAGTATTTAATTATATAAGCGCTGACTTCTTGAGGGACAATTCTCGGTGCTTGTTGGCCCGCTACATTGTTTACGCCTCCATGTTACTTGAATCGATTGACCGGCTTAGTCGCATTTACTTTTTGATTAGTTAGACCCGAGCCGAAGTTTACTTAGGGGTGTGTTACTTTATGTACAAAAATATGTTATGTACAAATATTATACACAAACAATATCGTATATTTTACATAGAATGTTATATACAAATAGTTTAATTTACATATTTTAATTTGACTTGAACTTTTGTTCGGCATTTCATGCAAGCTGCGGAGTCAACTTCTGTCATTGCGTTAATTTTGTTTAAACACCAATTCGATGCTTTAATTGGGTTTTGTTTTAAAGCCTTTAAGTCTATGATTATTGTGATTAGAAGGTAAAATAGAATGGAAAGTCGTCTGGCTGTATTTAAGATTTTAGTAGTTTGGCAATTTAAAATGAGGTAGAATACAAAAACGCTTTTGAACTATTTAACACAGTAAAATATTTTAACAATAAAATGCGGAAGCAAAGTATTTTTAAAACAATGATTGAAATTAATATATAAGATGAATAATGTAAAATTAGACGAAAAATAATAAGAAACTAATTGAAGCTGTAATAGAAAAATATTAAATCATATTTTATAAACTATTCACAAAACGTAACTGCGCAGTCAGAAAAGAAAGAAAAGAAACCCAGAAACATATGTCGGATCTTTTAAAAGTGAAATTCTTTACGAGTTGAGTTTTAATTTGATTTGATAGTAAATATTTAGTTTTTGAGTTGGCAAAAGTAGATATTATTTAAAGAGGATACAATAAAGGAATAATGGATAGAACTGAAATAATAGAATTGAATAGCATAAAACAGACTTTTCATATTTTTAAAAATGCTAATGAAAAACTCTTCTTTAATCGGTAGACTGCAGTCTGAAACTTTCAAATCTCAAGTTTTCTTTTTCAATATTATTATTATTATTCATTTAAGAAAAAGGTCGGCATTAAAACTTTAGCCTGCCAGTGCAAGCTTTACAACTCCCATTTTTTTCCATGAATTTTTAACATTCTGCCGACCGGCTCTGGTTAAGAGTTACGGAAATTTAATCTAACGGCTTATTCTGTAAGGATTTTCTGATTCTTAAATTCAAATTCTATGCTTTAACAATCGAATAAAACACAATTTTCCAAATATTGAGTCGATGAAAGATTTAATCATATATACATTCTATATTATTCGGCTTTCTGGCATAATCATAAATTTAAGTCTTCACTGAAGTTATTTCTATATTTAAATTATATTTAATTTTTAATCATTAAAAAATACATTTTCATTTTCATTTTTACTTATATTTTCAACAGCATTTCTGAACTACAGCATTTCTAAACTAAGTTCTTATGCTAAATTCTTAAAATAAAAATCTGCATTTTAGGTTATAGAATGAACTACAAATTCGGAAAACATTATTATATTCCCAAAACATTATTTTAATACTTACCTGAAAGAAAAAATGAAGTTAAAACGAAAACTGCTATATCCATTTCTAAAATGGAGTTAAAAAAAAACGTATTTGTTTCTATCAGTACAAAGACATCTTTATTTTTGTTATCAACTCTCTCTCAAAGCGAACATCCTTTTCCTTTTCCTCTATCGGCTTTCATTCTGCGAAAGTCGCTCCCAAAGTATGTTATTGAAAACGGTAAAAACCCCACAGGATCTTATGATGATGGGTTTTCTACGCTTTTAGAAGAAACAGGTTTTATTATATTGGTAGACTTCCAAACTTTTGCAATATCAAACGCTTTAAGTTTCTCTAAACTAAATTATAGTTTTTCTCGTTCTGATTTTCTCATCCAACATATTTTGCGGATTACCGCTCGGTGGCGAAATGGCTAGCGCGTCGCGCAGCAGGTTGGGCAACGTTGACTCAGCCTTTCATCCCTTGAATGGGTTGATAAAATGAGCACGAAGTTAGCTTGAGGACCTAACACCGGGGGTCCTGCGACAAGCTCACCACTTGCCCAGGGCATATGCTGATGTACCCCGGGCCCCAAGGTCAAGACAGCAGATTTCGGGGCACTGCAGGCCATGGCCAACTAGTGCTGTTGCGCCGCTGAGTTTAGTTTTTTTTTTTTTTTAGTATATTTCGAGGATTAATACGCAAAATGTACCACGTTGAAAGTGAAATTTCTAACCTTAATAGCAACATGAAAAAGAATTCAGAAATAGACATTCAGAAATAGATCAGATGGAAAAATAGACAATACGCTCAGATGGCGTTTTTTTAGCGTTTCGTGTATTACTCTTATTTATTAAATATCATGTTCTTCGTACTTAATCCACATAAAATTCAATTTAAGAGTAAAAGCACAAAATATTTAAAAAAAGCGTACCTTAATAAATTCCGACAGACAGTCTCGCACCCTGGAAATAAGCATGTTATTTTCCGTACAGTGTTGCCGTTGCTCGCTTTGAAATCGTTGAGTTTTTGAATAAATAATTCGTTAAAGTTTTACAAACTATGAAATAAATAATAAAACAAATTAGAAATTCGAGTGCCCAAGTACCCATGTTCGGGTGAGGATTACGTTATTCGAAATTTGATGGCTCTAGGTACCGTCGTTTTCTCACAATGCGAGAAACATACATACATGCATGGAGATTCTGCATTAATTTCTTTAAATATAATACAGGGTGACAATATTTGGTGGCAACAATTTGAAAAGCGAAAAAGGACATTTGTAGTTAAACATCGCAAAATGTCGTTTAGAAACTAATAGCCCGTTTGTGCTACCACCCCTTTGAGATGGGGGGAATAGATTTTATTCATCAACAAACCGATACTGATAGTTTTGGTATTTAAAGTATTTTCTACGTAACTTTATTTTTGTGTTATAAAAAAAAAAAACATATAAGTTGACGCAACGCTCTTGATTTTATCTCAGTAAAAATTATGTGCTGTCATTATAAATATTATAATTAAAACACATTCGACATTCTAACGTAAAAACTAAATTTATATATATATATATATATATTTTGTTTGTTTGTTTGTTTCTCCATTCATTTTTAACATTTTTTTTCAAGGATTTGTGTATACAGCTCGTTCAAAAATAGTATGTTTTACTTACTTCCAAAGTCGTTTCTTCCTGAAATTATTAAATGTACCATTCATGGTCTCGCAGGAAAACACACATTCTACTATGTTATCGGAAAATAGTTGCTTCTCCCTACTTTATCAGTCAAAGTGCTGCAAGGTTCTGATGCATGAATGCAACCAGGATCCAACCCGGGATGGGGGGGGGTGCAATCGTTGTTAAACGTGAAAAAAACTGAACTAAGAAAGGATTTGAATCCGGTAATTCGGTTGAAGATTTCGAATCCCTTGGTTGTCTGCTTGATTGTTTTCTTGTCTTCCTCCTGTATAACAAGAATAAGAATCATATTTCCTATAAAAAACCTCCTCGTCTTTTCATAGGAATATAGTTTTCTCCCCATAGACTAATAAACGAGCAAATAAACAATGAATTTGAATGCATGAATGTAAGTAGATTGTTGAAGATTGATAAATAGGAGCAAAGACATTTTTGAACTTTTTTGCCTCAACTAATTTAGCCTTTAATTTATACTAGAACAATTTTTCTTCTTGTCTTTGCTAAATCCGTCTCGAATTTCATTTTTTGTTTCATTTCTTCTTTCCTGAAATAGCTTTTCATGTACAAACACACATAGCCTATTCAAGCGATCCTCTGTCATTTCTGAGAGCAACAAAGTTTTTATTTGGCTCAAAAATTGATCCCATACACAACGCGTAGTCTTGAGCATATTTTATTTGTGAGGTTAAAAAAATCGTCGCTTATTAAGCCTTCCATTATAACTCTCTCATGTTACCGATCTTTGCATTTTCTTCTCTTTGTAAAAACTGTAGCAGCAAGAAAGAATTGCACCGGAAAAAGGCACTACGTATTTTGCAATAAAGAAAACAATGCACCTTTGAACTTTATTTAGAAGTATCGTCAAACTGGGAGGCAAAATGACCGCTATTACAGCCATGATTTCTGGCTAGTAGATCCCCCGTGATATCTATTGCGAGAAGCTAACACTGTTATTTAGCTATCCGATAGCAGAAGAGTGGTATTAAGATGCATCATATTCAGCCTACCAGAAGACGCTTTCCCTGTGGCGTAAAAATAGGGGTATGCATGGGAAGAAGTCGCATAGGGAGCCCAAGGCCATAGAGGGCTTTAGATACTCTTCTGAATTAAATTTACATGTTTAAGATTTAGAAAGAAAATAGAAATAGGTCGGTTCATTTTGCTTCCATAAAAGCTTATATACTATAAATACTATAATGATTTCACAGAAGCAAACGCAGAGGTTTATATAGTTATTGCTAGGGGCAAGTTTCTCATTTCAGCCCATTTAATCTTTTCCAGCTTCGTTTTTATGTAATTCCAGTTAGGTAGCAGTCCGTAAGCGAAGTGGAACAATTGCCGGTTGAAAGAAAATTCGAACACAAAACAAGTTGCATATTTATATTCTGATTTCCTGAGACACGAACCTTTCAAGTCATTAATGATAATGAATTACTGATTCTGCGTGAGTGATAGTTTGACGACCAGACTTATTGCGAAAGCAATTTCCAACTTTATAGAGGCAAAGCTGTAACAAGTGCAGCTAAAACGAAGGGACGAATTCCCAGAAACCTCTATACTTCATCAAATATACAAGTAAGGAAATCTAACAATTGCATTTGCATTCTCGTAGCATGTCAGGTATTTTCCCATACACGAAAAGTTTCGGGTAAAGATTAATAATGTTTCTGTGGACATCAATGTTACATGTCCTTTGCTGTTTTAAAAGTTTTTAGGTAATTATTTACGTTGCTGTCATATAGCACAACACCGAATAGCATTAAAAAACAAATAACTAAAATACTTTAAATCCTATTTCTGTACATTTATAATTCTAATTTCTCCTTTTTTACAGTTTCTATCCCCCACCCCCCAATTACCAGAATAGCCGATTAATTAATTTGGGTGGTGTTTTATTTCCCCTTTCCCAGTTACCAGAATATCAGATTAACGAAATTTTGAAATGGGCATTACTTTCAATACTTATTTAAATGTATTTAATTTTAAGAAAATTATATAAGTTCTTTGTCTATTAACAAAATTGATTTTCTAATGATAATAGAATCTTTTTAGATATGGTAAGATAATTAATAGTCGAGGAAAATATAGTTTATAATTTTTTTGTTATCACGGTGACGTTCATTAGAGACCTCCCATATCCAACATAAGAAGAAAGTTATAACGCGTGGCCATTATAGCAAAAGTTGCTTTAATACGCCATTGAAGGCTTTTTGCACCAGTCGTTGTTATGGAATAGTCGTTATAGCGAGTATCGACTGTATTAATATTTCCAGTGTGTCTGTTTTAGATGGAAGGTATACAGATATCAGCTTCCAAAATTTGAGAAAAGTCAAAAGTTCAAAATTCAACTATTTCCATAAATATTGTAGGTTTCCTTAAATGAAAAGACCGAAGATGTTTTTTCTTTTTTCCTGAAATTGAATAATTCATGTTTACATAATATTTTAATGGCTTTAGAAATTTTGGATAAGCGGTCGTAGTTTATTCAGTTAGGGAAATTTTCAGGAATATTTTGAGTATTTCATTTAATAATTAAGTGGCTGCAGGGTTAATATTAATCTGAAATCAAAAGTCGGTATTCTTAAATTAATGAAAATTTGTAACAAAAAGTGTTTTCAGAAACGAATGTGAGTTCTATAAATGAAATGGAAACTTTTTATTCCAAATGTTTCTCGATATTTTTCCTAAGTAAAAGTCGATCCCTTTCCAGATTTTTAAATTAAAAGCACCTCCAAAAAGCCAAATAATTTCCATGTTCTAACTACTGAGTTTGAGAATTTCATGTCAAATCGAAGTAAGGTAGCTTAACTGTTTTTGAATCTTACGTTTTGTTTAATTAGTTTTAACTAATGTTATGCAGTTTTAGAATTTAAAAGGCTGTCATACATTTTACTGAAATATATTAAGTAAGAGTGTATGTTTCCCAGGATAACTGAAATCTTTAAGTACATGCATATTTTATGACATTGGCTTTTAGATATTAAATGATAAAAAGCATAAACTAATATTTTTATGGATAATTAATATGGTCAAATTTCTTATGATAACTACAGTTTTATTAATTTAAAAGAGTAAAAAACGACTACATACATCCTCTGAAAATATTGCACTTTTCTTAGAAACAGTTAAAGAATTGTTCTCCTGAGATGAGTCTATTGTAGGAATTTTCCAAAAGGAGGCAAAGAAAATATGGAAAAGGGCAGTCAGTGTAATCTTTGGAAGCCTAAATGTTTTCAGGAAACAGGGACAGCAAGAGGCTATTATAATTTGAATTAACGGGAGTAATCGGAAACATTTCTATTTTAAATGAGACAGCTCACAAAATCCAAAATACATTTGCTGTAAATTTCACGTATGCTTTATTTTGCTGGTAGTGCTTACAAAAGTTAATAGTTAAAGTAGTGCTAATCAACGAATTTGACTTATCTCTGTATTCAAAATCAGTACCGTAATCTACTAAGTAAGTCAAAAGAAGTGTTCTAATTTTGCGAATTTTACAGAAAAGGTCTAGAGCTTTTTATTTAATTAATTAAAATGTATTGAATATTTTACTAATTAGATATTTTACTCGACAGAGGCTATATTAAAATGTTGCATTTTGCTCCTTACACAATCTTCTCAGTCACTGAGAAGTTGTTACTACAAAATTACCTACATTTTAGATATTTCATAAATGGATGTATAAGTTTAGAAAAAAATATTTGAGGAAATTACTCTGGCGAAATGTCTTTCGAGCGCTCTTTGTTATACAGTAAACAAATTAAAA